TAAAATACAAATATACAATGGCTGATTAAATTGAGTTGTACATATCGATTAGTTTAAGAAATGAGATTATTTTGATGGTGTTGTCATAGGTTGGGCTGAGGGCTTCAAAGAGGTTATCAGGCATTTCTAATCTTTTTCTGGTATCTATATGGTTACGATATTGGACAAGAAGGTTCTTGACTGTGAGAGGTTCTCCGCAGGTTTGGCACATTGCAGGATCTTCTCTGCGCATAAGATGTCCATAGGACATCTTTAAGTGGCTAATACGTAGTCTGTTAATAACTACTTCGTCTTTGCGATTTTATGTATGAGGTTTGGGCCAGTATTCTGAAGTATTTTTTATTTCCCTTAGTTTATTATTAGGTGTACGCCGCCATTCGGATTCCCATACATTTGTACAAAAGGTGCTTATATTCCTGTGGATGTCAATGAGTGAGGAGTATGTACGTATATCGGTCAGAAGGTTATTAACTGCTTCACGAGCTACTTGGTCGGCTTTTTCATTGCCATCTATTCCACAATGACCTGGTGTCCATATAAACCGTATGTTCTTGTTAGCTTTTACAATGATGTTGCTTATTTTAATTGCTAGGGTGCTTGAGTGCCAGTTATACTTAAGATTGTTAAGAGCGCTGAGTGAATCTGTACAAATGTTAGTGATTGAATCAGGTAATTGAATGGCTAGGTAGACTCCTTCCAGGAGTGCAAAGTATTCCGCCGTATAAATGCTGTTATGGTCTGGTAGTTTGTACGATATAGATTGATGACCATTTATGATAGCAATCGCGACGCCTGAGTTGGTTTTGGAGGCGTCTGTATAGATTTGTGGGTTTGACGGAGGAGAGTTGATGATTTCATTGAATAAATTTTTATAGATAATACTTGACGTTTCTTTTTTACTATAATTAGCTAAACTGGTGTCCACGAGAAAGGATTGCACCCTTCAAGGAGGCACCACACTATATTCTCGTTTGATAATTGAATTTGGATCGATATTGTTACGTGACATTTCATTCAGCATCCTTAAACCCAATGGTTTTTTTATATTTGAATTGGAGCAAAATATATTTTCAAAACGATTTTGAGTCACGAATGGTAATGTAGAGTTTTCTGGGGAGGAAAGGATGTGAGCAAGATCATTTTTATAATTGAATAATGGTAAATATATAATTTTCCAAATAAAAAAAAAAAATTACAAAAATTTTAATAATATACTATGTTAAATAAAGAAAAATTGGTCCTATCCCTCTACTACGTAGTACGAGGATAGGAAAATTTTCTTGAACATTATAGAACGTAGAATATTGTTAACTTATATGAAAAATTATACTAATTTTTATATATTCATAAATTATGAAGCATACTGAAGTAAAACCTGTATACATTTAATGATGATTCGTAAATAACGAAAGAGACGAAGAAAGATATTCATAAAATTTTACACAATAAAATTAACAAAACCCAGCATAGTTGGGTCACGGCACAATGGGGACGTGGCATAGTAGGGTCCAGTAATGATGATATCTGACAGTGATTAAAAGCACTATCATAAAAAAGACTTCAATAATATAATGATACATACATTTTTCAAAAAATTATAACATTATAAAGTTAAAAATATAAAAAATAATTTTTTTACAAAAATCGAATTTTTTTTTATTAACTTTGATGTCTGTTTTCACCGTAAAGACAAAATAAAGTCCAAAATTTTTTTCCATATTACATTAGCTTTAATTTAAGAATGTAAAAAAGTGGTCTTGTGAATCCCCCTGTGGTCAGGTAAAGGGTCAGATTTATAAAAAAATTATACAAAATGATAGATAAGTACCTCACGTATTTATATAAAAAAAACTCAGCACAGTGGGGTCGGGCATAGTGAGGACGTTGCATAGTTGGGTCCAGTATAGATTTAATCTGACAGTGATTAAAATCACTATCATAAGAAACGCTTCGATGCAAATCAGTAGATAGTGTTTAATTCTAAGAAATTGGTGGATAATTACAAAAGCTACATTATCTGCTAGTTTCTTATTAATACCNCTGATGGATAATTACAAAAGCAACATAATCTGCTAGTTCCTTAATTATACCCAGACTAGTAATTCTTTTAATTATATATTATATAATTTTTTAAATTAATTGTTTTCAAATTATTATTGATTTTGATTTTTAATATGTTAAAAGTAATCATTTTGAACCTACTTCTTTTTGTTCTTTAAAGTGAAAGTTTTAATAAAAAAAAAATGAATTTATTACCATAACTTTTAACTCAACTTGCAAGTTTGAAATAAATAT